TTTCGTGCAATGGACATGAGGCTTATGGTGCAAGATGAGCGAGTTCCCTTGAGACGCGGTCGGTCTTGCAGACTGGATTCGGTTTGCCTTTTGTCTCTCGGTTGCTTAAGCGCTTGCTTGTGCACCGCTCTCTGTTGTTCTTGTTGTAGTCAACGTCGTCATCGTCATCGTCATGTCAATCGATCGTCATCATTCATTCGTCATCGTCGTCATCGTCATCGTTATTATCATCGCAATTCATCATTATCATCACATCATCATCATCATCATTCATAATCATCGTCGTCATCGTCATCGTCATCGTCATTATCATCATCGTCCATTATCATCATCGTCATCATATCATCAATCATCATCATTCATCATTCATTATCATCGTCATCATTTATCGTCATCGTCATTCATCATTATCAATCATCATTATCATCATTATCATCATCATCATCATCATCATCATCATCATTATCATCATCGTCATTATCATCATCATCATCGTCATCGTTATTCATCATCCTCATCTTATCGTTATCATCATCATCATCGTCATCGTATCGTCATCGTCAGTCAGTCTCATCGTCGTCATCGTCATCGTCGTCATCATCACCTTCACCACCATTGTTATGATTGTTATTACTATTGCTATCGTTACTGCTGCTAACAGCTAATGATGACACAGCCTCCACGTCACCTATTTTTATTAATGATCCTATATTGAGGCGATTTTCTCCGGAAATTATTGTGTGAGTGAGTAATTGTTTGTGTATGTATGTATGTATGTATGTATGTATGTATGTATGTATATGTGTGTGTGTGTGTGGTGTGTGTGTGTGTGTGTGTGGTGTGTGTGTGTGTGTGTGTGTGTGTGTGTGTGTGTGAGTGTGAGAGGAGAGAGAGAGAGAGAAGAGAGAGAGAGAGAGAGAGAGAGAGAGAGAAGAGAGAGAGAGAGAGAGAGAGAGAGAGAGAGAGAGAGACAAAGACAGAGACAGAGACATGTATATATGCACGCCCAACCTTTCTCCCGCCCGTCCACCCTTCCGCCCACGCTAATCCACTATTCCACCCTTCCACCTTCCACTCCCCCCCTCCCCCCCCTGATGCATGTCGCAAGCAGACGCGAAGGAGGTCAGTGAACGTGTGCGGGCGGCCGGCAAAGGTCACGGGAAGCGGCTGAGTGACCTTGGGACCTGTGGGGTGGGAGAGAGGGAGGGATGGAGGGAAGACGGGAGGGAGGAAGGGAAGGGGGGGAGTGAGGAGGAGGAGGGAAGGGGGGGGAGTGAGGAGGAGGGGAAAGGAGGGAAGGTGGAGAGGAGGGAGGGAAGGGAGGGATGGAGGGGCGGACGGACGGAAGGAAGGAAGGGAGGGAAAGGGAGGGAGGGAGGGAGGGATGAGAGGGGAGGGAGGGGGGGGGAAGGATGAGGGAAGGGAGGGAAGGGAGGGGAAAGAGGGAGAGGAGGAGAGGGAAGGAAGGATGGGAGGGAGGGAGGGGACTCGGAGAAGGCGGAAAGTAGGTAGGATCACATGCAGGCCGAAATAGTTCATTAGTGTATAGACAGACAGACGGACAGATAGATAGATAGATAGATAGATAGATAGATAGATAGATAGATAGATAGATAGATAGATAGATAGATAGATAGATAGATAGATAGATAGAGATGATAGATAGATAGATATAGACATAACAAAATACTTTTTGATACTCAAGTTAACTTTCTTTGACCTTGGTGATAATTTTATGATAATTTTCCACCTCTATTATATTCATCTATAATTTTGATTTGCTTCGTTTTAATTATCCCCTTCTTCGTCTTCTACCTTTTCTTATTCTCCTCGCATTTCCTAATTCCTTTATCTTTTTCCCCTTTCTTTCTTATCCTCCTCCCGATAATAGGCACAAAGGCGAAGAATGAGGAGCAGGAGGAGGGAGGATAATAAAATTCCGGGCTCTCTCAGGGGCTTTCGGTGGGACGGGTTATCCAAGGTTGCCTCTCCCTCTTTCCTCATGTTTCTCTTCTGTTCCTCCTCCTCCTCCTACTTCTCTTTCTACTTGTTATGGTCATTCTTGTCCTTATTTTTGTTCTTGTTCTTGATCTTTGTTTTCTTTGTTCATTGTTCTTGTTCTTTCTATTTCATTGTCCCTTTTTCATGTTCTGTTTTTTTTTTGTTTTTTTTTTTGCTCTTGTCCTTGTTCTTATACTTATTGTTATTATGTTGTTATTTTCTTCCACATGTACCTACATGCTCCTCATTATCTCTCCTTAGTATCAATACTACATATTCTACCTCCTCCTTTTTTATGCTGCTTCTTCTTCTTCTCTCCTCTGTTTCCTCCTCCTCCTCCTCTCTCTTCCCTACTACCTCTTCTTCTTGTCTTCCTTCTCCCTCATTTGCTCCTACCTACCCTCCTCCTCCTCCTCCTCCTCCTCCTCCTCCTCCTCCTCCTCCTCCTCCTCCTCTCTCCTCCTCCTCCTTCCTCCTCCCTCCTCCTCCTCCCCTCTTC